CTCCCTCCTCCTTTACCCTATCTCCTAACTCCTTTTCCATTTCATTTTTCACAAAAATCCTACTGGTTTTGAACCCGGGACCTTCTGAACACTAAGTTGATGTCTTACCCCTAAGCCACGAGCATCACTGAAATTTGTTTTCTTTAATCTTCCTCTTAAGCTACATCTTCGGTTATAATTCCAGAAAAATCTTATTAACTCCACTTGTATTTTATAAAACTTTCGTTGGTTCCGAACCTTGGAACTCCGTCACATTAGGCCAGTATTTTACCAATGAGCCACCAATGCCACGTAAATGTTTTACCTTTAATCTTCCTCTTATGTTACATCTCGCTATATATAATTCCAGAAAAATATCATTACAAAAATTCTTGTGGTTTCGAACCACGCACCTTTCATTTACAACGCCGGTTCCTTACCTCTAGGCCACCGCAACATCTATTCTGAGGTCTTCTGCGATCCTTCTCATATTCTACAACTTGGTTTATAGCTGCAGAAAAAATCGTATTTGTTTATTCCCTTTTCAATTTCTATTGACAAAAGACACCGTGGTCTCGAACCCGGTACCTTCCCAATACTACGCCAATGTCTTACCCATGTGCCACCACATCTATACAAATTTGTTACCTTCACCTTCTTCATACAGTACGACTTGCTTCCTACATGCACAAATTTCTTAATTTCTTTTCTCACAAAAATAGTCATGTATTCGAACCACGTATCTCCTAAACCATACGCCAGTGCCTTACCAAAGGACCGCCACGGTTATGACAACTATTCGCCTTCGTCTTCCACATATCCTACCGCTTCGTTTGTACCTTTACAAAATTCCTCTTTACTACTCGCTTCTTTTCAAAGTCATTTTACGACTGACGGCTGGCCAGTCACTTTCTTTTAATTTAGAGCCCATTCAGACGCTCATGACCAGATCTTAGTCTTGAAGTAAGCGTCACTGTTTGGCCTTTAATAGGAATTCATTCTGATGACAAGACGGGTCTATCCCTTCTCACTTGTCACAGTAAATTACTTTCTATATTTCGTCCTTCCTCCTCTAAACTACATGTCACGACCTGTACAACTATATGTATATACTGCAAGTGGCTTTATTGGCAATATATATATATAATCGAATTTCGATTTCCACGAATTAAATATAGTGACTAGCCCCACCACATAAGAAAGCTATGAGCAGCCACTGATGCTTTGTGTGTGACATTTCATGTATCACAAATTCCTTTGTGACATGTGACATCTAATGATTTGAGTTATGAAATATAGTTCTCTAGTGTAAGGGTTAGAGATTTACTTCCTGTAGGTATCCTTACCCTTTTATGGCAAATTCCATTTCAAACATTGAGTCTGACAGTTGACTCATAGGATATTTTATAGGTGCTGCAATAAATGCTGATTTATGAAGCCTGTCCTGAGTCACTAAAATGAAAGACTTCATGACGGAAGTTGTTACCTACTGACTAGTCAGCCAACTGACTGAAATGCTTACTGTTCTTGAACTAATAGGCAAATGGAATCAGATTAATTTTGAACTTTCATATCATCAATTTTATCTTCTGTTTGGGGTATAAACATTCAGAACGATGATATCATACCAGCGACCTCTTAGTAATATGTACAACATCCTGTCACTAACGAACTCTACCGTCTTAACTGCTGATGTGATTCTTTTATGTACAAAGAAAACTATACTTTATTTACAGTTCTTATTCCCCTTTCTGCAGAAAAAAGTATATTCGCCTGCTGATTTGGTGCCCCCTCCTGTACTCCCACTAAATATAATATTTTGATATTACTTTCGGTACTCTCATGAGCGGACCTGCCCCATGCAGAATTTTTACATGTTATGTACAAAGTCTGATATCCGTTATCTGTAGCTTAGGCCGTTTTTAAAAAGATTCCGTCCAGGTCCTAGATCCTTTGTGACTTTCGTAAGAAGCTTAATTTTAGGTTAGGAGTTCCCACGCCAAACCCCCAAGCTGGAAGACCACCCTTTGTCGGCTGTCCGCGACTGCTTATCCAATATATTTACAGCTACCTTCCATATGTGGAGGCCGTCTCCTCCATCCGGAACCTGAGGTTGCGACATGCCGTGGTGAAAAGGGACTCACCTAACATGGCTTATGTGAAGAAATATAATGTTTTTTATATTCTCATGTATTGCATGAAAGTAATTTTGTTAATTTACTTTTAAAAATACATTCCAGAATAAAGTTCTAGATAAGTTACTGAGGCATTCGTATTTCCTGACAAAGTATTCATTCAAGACAAGTTTCCGTTAAGAAAACCAAGATACGTAGATATGTGAGGTTTAGTATAGATCAAAGAATAAATT